TGACGATGTCGTATTGCCGTACAATAACCCCTATGATTAATAATAAATACATATATAAAGCTTTTACTAGATAAAGGCAGATGTAATACATTCTTTTAGATTATATTTAACCTAACGACAATCTGCTTGCGGTTTAATTTGAGTCTTCTCAAAGTAATGTTTTCAGATTTACATATGAATTTCACTTTAATTAAGTTTTTATGTAGTATCGCAAAAATAGTGAGCTTCCTTCCGGACCTACGGAAGACAAAAATAATGTACTTTTGTGAAATGTTTCAGTAGTGGAAATGCGGTTTAAAATTGACCTTCAAAATGCATCGTCTTAACATTACGTAGTAAATGATTCACCACTTTGAAAACTACAAGTTGAACAAACAGATAAGTGTAATTAAATAAAAAAGTAAATATACTCCAATGCTATTACAGTGAATTTCCACTGTCGTTAAATAATACGATTGGGATATATTTTTGTACGAATATTTCACCAGTAGAAACTCGCGTGTTAATATGTTAATCTATCTGCGAAATCGTATTGTAAATAGATGCGGTTCTGCACAATTAAAATTATACAATTCGTTATCAGCGAAGTGAACGCGCTTGACAATAGTCTGTAGTAGTCTATTGTGTGTTTGTGCGACCGGATGGCACGCCGGAAACGCCACTGACATAGTCACTACTATACTGACTAGTATACCATAGGCATCGCTATAGGGGAAAGAGGGCAGCACCTTCACTCCCTTTAGACTTGAAAAATATAAAATATAAATAAAAACTATTATTAAAGTTGACTGACCTCTTAGACCTACATATAATTTTAGCTTCACATCAAAGTTAAAAGTGTATCCTGGTAAGATGAGATAAAGTTCTATACCGGTATCGAAATCCGTATAAATCAACACTCAAAATATTTTCCAATCTAATTAACTAAATAATGTTTTTAATAAAGGGATGTCCCTTTCATGGTGCCACACTCGATGATTCACAGTTTAGTATAAAAATCGATTTACGTAAAGTAGGGCGACAATGAAGCCGTAATCGGTGGCCAGCTTCAGAAAATAAATGCCTACCGCTTCCAGTAGCGATTTTTTTTTATTTAAATTGAAGCTATGATACTTTCCCACTACGAAATCTGAGATATAATTTTGTGAAGATATTTTCGGTAGTTGTTGCTTATAAATGCAGTAATTTCCTAGATCGATGAATGTGCATGTCCTTTAGCATATATTATTCAACTACGCTACGCCAACCAACCGTAAACTGAATAGCCTGGTAAGTAGGCCACTGGGTGAAAAAAATGAACTAAATGGTTAACCATGGTATTATAAAACTTACGTGTTATGTAAATTTAAGTAACTAGTAAATTTCTTACATTATTGGCTTAACCAAATTTCCTTTAAAGTTTGTGTACCACCGAATATTAAAATAACATTACGATTCAATGTCACAAAAGTATACAAACTTCTGGTACTGAAGCATAAAGCTATATTTTTTTGTCAGCGGTGACAATACGAACGCGGGAATGGTGTTAGGGTAAAAACGCCGCATTGTTACGACATTATTACGTACGCTGTAATTTATAACTGGCTTAGTATTCTTTGAAATGTGCTTCGTTAATTCATAAGAAAATCTCCAAGGGGAATTATGGGTACGAGGCATATCACACAAAGGGAAAGACACCCCTATATACGTCAAATTATTTGTAACCCCGTCTTGTGATTTTAAGAAACGTTCCTCGAGTCAAATCAAAACACGAACAACCAATTCGTTGATGACTCAGTAAATGATGTTTTACAATATTAATAGATCGGTCTCGCCAATCTGCTTACGTGCGAGATACGTAAAATCCTACGCTCATTCTATCCTACATTTTTTAATCAGTTAAGATTCCTGATACGCGAAAATGTCACTTTAAAAACTTTCTGTTGAGCTTTCTGCTTAATTATGATCGATTTCAATGTTCGTATTTAGTTACATTTACCCCTCATAATGCAATAAAGGAGGAAGGAAACTTATCGATTTCGAATATCAGCATAACAAGTTTGCGTTTTCTGTACGGATTTATTTGACTAATGTGAGTGCGCGTGCACCGAGACTAGACCAGACTGGTCTATTGGACCGGTTCCTCTGCACCGTTATGACCAACTAGTCTCTTCTTTGCCTCGCAATTTGTCTTTACCATTTTGACTGCTATTGTCAAGGTTCAAGAATGAATATGGCTTGTGAATGACGTTTGATTGAACGTTGGATTATGTATTATTAAATTGTTTTGTACCACAAGTGCAATGGCCTAGAGATAACATTTATAAATTTGCCTGGTTTATACCGTGAAGAAACATTAGTTAAACGTGTGAAGACTCTGAAATGTGTTAAACGATAAAGTACGTGTTAAACGATAAAACTTGTATGAATTCACAAAGTCCCATAAACTTCACTTTTGATGCATCAATTGTTTAAAAGGGCTTACGACTTGAAGAAAGATACACCTGATTGCGTGGTAACCGAGCGCTTTCAAGTGAAACTTAACTTGAGGGTCTGCTATTCTATTGCAAAGGATTGATATTTCATTGTAATTTGTCAGATTAGTAAGACGATAACGATGTTATGGCGTTTTAAAAAGTTCAATATGTACATATATATCAGAACCGTATTCACGCAATAGTTATAAGTGTAGATAGAGGTAGAGCTTGAAAGAGATGGATGGAATGCGTGAAGGGGTGATGATAGATTAACCTGGAGGATGATAAGAACGGGATGATGATTCATGCAATATAATTTACTTGTTATGTCAATAGTAGTCTAATTAAATAGCTAGTGTCTATCTGCACGATACAAGCGGGTGGTAATTAAGCTCACAATGCGGTTCATTCATATTGATTATGCGCGTGGAATTTAATCATAGCCAGCGTTGGGCAATTAGTGTGTTACGTAGCCACTGGATGACTAATTACAATATTGACATCCATTATTTAATTATAGTTAAGTTAGAAAAAAGGTTGGTATAAAAAGATACAAAAACTATAATAATGGAAAAATATGCTTCGACTTTTCTTGATTTTTAAAAAGGTAATTCAGTTTTATTGTGTTGGTATTAAATGTAAAATATTCAAAATGGCATTTTAATATGAGAAATAAGGTAAAAATAACAGTATTAGGTAAATAAAATTTAATGAGGAAATGCGTCTGCGAAAAGTATTCGAGCAGTCTGCGTTAAAGTGTCTTGCGACGGATTGTCCTCGTAGAATGATGTCATTTGGCAACGAAAGCAACCGCGCCTGTAATTGTAAACTGACATCATAATTCCAACGTGTGTGGCCGTCATAATTTTTATAACACATTTCCTATTGACCCTGCACTACTTTGTTATTACGTCCTTGACAATTACCTTGTACTTTACATCATTTTTTACATTCCGAAATCATTGTAACTCAACCCTTAATTCGACGGAGTGTTTTGTCGAAAAAAAAAAACATATGTTACCAACACACTAAAATCAAAATCTCAGGTATTTTTCTCAAAATTGGTTCAGTAGATTTTATTAAATTATTTCTTCGTCACACTGTTTAATAAAGTCTCGAAGTGAATAAATTAAAAAGTATTTTCTCGTGAAAAATGTTGTCTGATTTCTTCTTTAAGGAATCGTATCCACGATTTTTCGAAGTCTTAAATACTATTGAGTTATTGGCGTTTTCGTACAGACATGCGTTTTAATCGTACATTGTCGACTGGCGCGAAGCCAATGCGGGTAATAGCACAATTGATTTAGCTTTTATGACTTACGTTTAAATACTAACGTCTGATAATGTAACGCTCTGATGTAATTGCAACTATTTTACAAATAATTTGTTAGAGCGTACGTAGTCCTGAAATACTATCGCACAATTGTTTAGTCTCGCTTTTCGCGCGTATATGGATGTGCACATACTCGATTTTTAGTTGTGCAACTAAATTGAATTGGCTGCGAAACAATCGAAAATCGCTTAACAGTTATGCAATAGTTTAGTTTCAGATTTGCGCCTGCTTCTATTCAAGTGTAGCACTGATAATGCTTGAGTGACATCCCAAGCCCAGGCCCCCTCTCAGAGGCCCTTGTACCTAGTCACTCCACCGAAGCGATTTAAGAGCTCGGTGGCCTCCCAATTCGGTAATAATAACGAAGTAACGGCTCCTGCCGAGGCTCCCAAGGAAGCCCTCGAGCCTAGTTACTCATAAACGAGGTTTGGGCTAAGCGCCATCTGCGCTCGGCCACCTCAAGTAAATGCCTCTGCAAAGCAAACAGTAGCCATTCAGTCACAAAAAAAAAATCTAATAATGTCAGATTGAATCACCAACCGTCTACGAATATCTCTGATTGTCCGTACTTTTAAACTACGACAATCGACAACATTGTTTCGTATATTAATCTAGACACCTTGATCGTTCACAACCTTAATACAGAATGTTATAAATTATATTTCATAATTGTTTAGCCTAACCCCTATGATAACTGCCAGTGAACAGTATTTATTGTAGACAAGCATGTCGTTAGCAAAATTTACGATTAAAAAAGAATGCTACAGACTAAATATTTATAAACCTAACTTCCTCTGCCGGTATGCATTTTTAGAACGCAACAAATGTTATGCAAACGAAGATATTCTAACATAAACTATGCGAGCACTGTGTAAGCTGTAACAAACTGTAACCGGCCTAAATAATAAATTTAAAATATTGTTATCAAACATTACGCATAACAGATCACACTATACCTAAACAATCTAAGCAACAATGTCAACTGTTATGTTAAAATTAAGCAAGTAAGAAAATTAAGGCGATTTGATATAACTGTTACTCTTAGACACACATCTATTCACCAAACAAAATGACTAAGTAATTTACAAACGAGAAATCATACTATCACCTGTGCTCTAACTGATACCATTAAAAACTTTATGACTCCTTTAGTTTATAAGGAAATCTGTTGATGACGGACATGTTTGTTACATGTGTTGTTTTGTTCACAGACAGTGCAACACGGCTTTCCGCACAGAGCATCTGCCCTCGCATGGGACCCGCTACTCCGGCTCGCCGCTCTCGGCACCGCTACCGGAGCTCTCAAGGTCTACGGACGCCCCGGTGTCGAGTTGTACGGACAACACACGAACCCTGACTCCGCTGTTACCCAAATACACTTCATATCTGGTAAGTTCCTTGGAATATTTTTACAAACGCAAAGCAAAAGCGCCCCGTTTCAAAGAAGCGAAGTGTAGTGTAGCACAAAAGATTGTTTTTTTTTGTTAATTAATACTCCTAATATTTCCTTCAACCAATCTAACTAAGCTCTAGGCTTGTG